CTCTTCTGAAAGGTCACTTGGTGCCACTCAGAGTGAAGTGTGATTCCACAGGTCATTTCTCTTCAAACAAACATTTGAAAAGACGGCAGACGGTAAGGCAAAGCTGCAGTCCACTCCTGTGTTTCTCACCGCGGGCCAGGACTGGCGTGACCAAGGCCGGACACAGTTAAAAGGCCCCTGATGATGATGTCACAAGGATCAGCCAGGGGAGTGAGTGAAGGTTGGAACTTTCAAATGCTACTGATTTTAATTCCCAACATTAATTTATTTTAATTACTTACAACAGTTAGCGTCATAATAGTCCAAATTCAAGTTGCTTTGTTTTTAATTTTTCCTTTCTCTTTTTAATTTTCCATTTATTTGAACTTTACATTTTCATTTCTTTCCTAATTCTCAGGTTTTGATAAAATTATGATGACTATCAGTCTGTTAAGAAAAATTCATCCTTAAATCTTGTAACTTGAAGGCTACATTTGAGCACTGACAGAAGACTGCATTAACCACCTTTTGCTATAAAATGACATACTTCAATTTGTTTTTTCTCATATTAGTAAGATATTCAGAATATTTCTTTAACAACAAAGGAGGTCAGAATATGGAATGCATACTTTTGCCTAGCACGTCAATGTAGCCATAAAGTAGGGAATAGAAAGCTGTAAACACATCCAGTGCGTTAAGACCCATTTCAAGAGAGAAAGGACTGCAGAAGAGGGTGTGGCCGGCAGCTGCTGTGGGACACAGGTCGCGCACCTGCAGCACTGGGCCGAGCCAGGTGGCAGGTGGCACACTGCAGTGGAGGCTGGGTGTAGGTCATTCAGTGATCAGCCGAGTTCTGGCTGACCAGCCTGGGAGAGATCGAGTCATGGTGACAACAGGGCTGACATGGCCTGGGCGGTTCTCATCTCTCCCACAGCCGGGAGCCGCTGACTAGTAACATTTACAAATTGTTCCTCTTGAAACCGAAACAGCATTTGATTATTAATGTGAAATTCACTCTTTTGGAACTGCACTCATTTCAATGAGGTATCATTTAAAGTATGCCTTTGCCGAATTTATGAGAAATATATTCTAACGAGGAAAGGACCATTTCAGATGGCACCTCATTTGTTTTAGAGAAAAAAAACTTTAACCTGTCTGGAAAACATCTTTCACAATGTAATTTAGAAATAAAAGGCTCAGCAGATTCACCTACTTGTACGTTCTGTGCTTCCCAAAACACATTATACAAATTAAGGCATAAAACCAGGGCTGTGTCACGTAAACCCGTGTATGTAGCGCCCAGACGCTAGGGACAAATGAGAGGCACCTCGGGTCTGCTAGCTGCCCGAGGCAATACTTCTTACAGCGGAACTCAGAGGAGACCTGCCTATTGTACAACTGGTGACACATATGTGACGTGGACGGGCAGTGTGGCAGACACTGTTCCAGGGCACAAAACAAATGCGACAGTCCTTGTGGAACCGATTTCAGCTCTCTTCCGCCCATACAAGTTCATTTGTTAATGACCAGCATGTCAATTACATAATTCCTTTCCATTTATTAAAGCAAGTCCCTATCGCCCTCTTCACTTGCGAGCACTCTAAGGGTAGTTATTAGATGTGCTTACTTGAAGGTTCACTAGTTCATAAAATATATGGCAAACATTTTGACACATTTAGATCAGCTTCATCCCATTTGTATAGTTAATAATTTAGGTTTTACAGTATTCATAGACATTTCTAAAAATATCTCCTCTTAACTTCATAGGAATTTTTTCTTAGTCTCTACTATTGGTGATCTCTTTTCAAAACAGCGTCTACGCTCCTTGAAGGCAAGTCATTTGCCTTCTGTTTCCCTCATGGCTCACTGACGGCGTGAGCAGTGAGAAGGGCACTGCCACGGTGTGGGAAATGCCCCACCCCCGACTGGGTGAATGGCCTAGTCTTCATCACTGAGGCCCGGCTCTGCCACCTGTCAGCTGTGGGTAATGACTTAACCTGCTCGTTTGCAAAATGGAGACAATGTCACGGGCTTCCCGTTAATTAAGACAACGGCGAGCTTGTCTGAATTTGTGTGTGGGCATGACCACTGCGCATTGTTTACTGCTGTTGCCTCAGTTTCTTCATCTGTCAAGTGGAGCAGTAAGAGCATGTGAGGACTGGAGGAGTTACTATATGAAGGACACTTAGAACAGGACCCAGGCCATGGGAGCACTTGACACATGTTGGTTATCATTAATAACAAATAGGAGAAGCTGCTCCTGACAACGAAATAATTAGCAAAAAAGAGACTGAAGTATTTTCCCCGAGATCTCTTAAAAACGAAACTAAACCAGAGGAAAGCCATCGAGTTGGAAAAAAAGCAGGTGACATCGACGACCTCTGGGAATCACTGCACAGTGACTCTAGGGATCTAATGCACACCACAGAGATGCAAGCTGAAAATCTCACTAATAATCTGAGAGTTAAAAGGAAGGAAAAAACCACTTCGTTTGGGACCCTGTTTAAAAGGATCAACGAGAGAAAAGCCCAGGTACTGACGGAATGACACGTGCTACGAGCATCATTTCCTGAGCTGGTGTTTGCTGGGAGAGGAAGTGGGGGAGGAAAGGCGAGCGGTCCTGATGGAGCAGCACCAGGACCCTGGAACCAGTTACGGAACCAGGAGGGGCCACCCTCACAGGGGAACGTGCTGGAGATGTGGCCTGGGAAAAGGTGCACATGCAGAGCTCAGAAGTACGGACACTTTCTTTCAAAGTTAGAAATTACTGTCCCTATTTTATTTATTTTTGTTTTTAAATATGTTTTTATCAATTTCAGAGAGGAAGGGAGAGGGAGAGAAGGACAGAAACATAAATGATGAGAATCATTGATCGGCTGCCTCCAGCATATCCCCCACTGGGGATTGAGCCTGCAACCCGGGCATGTGCCCCTGACTGGAATTGAACTCCAGATCCTTCAGTCCGCAGGCTGATGCTCTATCCACTGAGCCACACCAGGTAGGGCATCACCCTTACTCGAACGGTTTCTAATACCAGTGCGGCCTCAACTCAGCACGTTTGCCTTACGAAAACCCTGGGACAGCAGCCTCTCGGCCCTATAACCACGCAGTGGGTCCACTGGGCTGCATTTGTGTCAGCAGCTCCGAATGGACGTGAAATTCAAACTCACTGACGTTAGAATCAGAAGCAACTTCCAAGGTAACATAATCCCATTTCCCCAAGAATAAAATGGTTCCCAGTGAGCACCTGTCCCAGGACACAGCAGCTTGGATGAGCCCCTCAGGGGCTCAGTGCTCTTAAATTAAGACCCCTAGTGTTCAACAATTCCAGAAAACCGAGGGCTTTACTCCGAAAAGAAATCCCTTTTTCTATGGAAACTATCGTCCCTTATAGTGTCAGCGCTTTCCTGTCGTTCACAAGACCCGTCAGACATCCTCCTTCCTAGGAGCAGAGGACCCAGCCCTGAGGGCGCAGGAAGCCGGAGCCTTCCTGGTGGAGCCAGGCCTGAGCTGCTACCCCAGTGAGACCACGGCTCTGACCTGGTCTCCGGTTACATTCTGAGTAAAAGCCCACATTTCCTGTGCCTCTCACAACTTAGGATCTGCGTTCCAACTTTCACAAGTTTCCTCTTTTCACGACAGCCCAGGAAACTCCATGGTGACTGGCCACCATGCCGGGCAGGCTTGGGGGGCGGCCTCTCTCGCAACAGAGTGGCTCACGGTCCTGTCAACTGGATGGAAATTCCCAGGGCGCCCTCCAGCTCAAACATGGAAACCAATCACGTCATGCCTGCACCCCTCTGCCCACAGGCACGGACAGAGGCAGGAAGGGCCGTGAAGAACGTGGTGTGGGGGCTGCTAATACGGTCTTCCTACCAGAAACAGTTGGCTGGTAACGAACCAAGCGCAACAGAACCAAGTGCTACACTGGAGGCTCTGAAGGCGCGTTCATTCCTCCGAAGGAGATCTTTAAAAACAAGACAACCCGTCTTCAGGCTGCAAGGGCCAGCAACCAGCCAGGAAAGCCTCCCGAGGAAGCAGGGGGAGCCGTGGACGCGCCGGGGCCCCGTAGCCCCGCCAAGGCCTTTGGGAGATCGAGCTGTGGAGGGGGAGCACCTTGCTCCAGCGCCCTAGTAGGAACTCATCATCTTCACGGGGACGCGCCTGGTGTTTCAGAAGCGAGGAAACTGGGAATGGGGCCAGATGATCTCATTCTCTCTAAATTAAACACTAATGTTTAATTCCCATAAACAAAATATTAAAAAGGTGCTAAATTCAAATGCCTTGTCAAAAGTGACTTTGGGGGAAAAATATATATATATATATATATATCAGGTTTTAAACCTGAAAAAGGATTCTCCATGTATATGACAAAACACATCCGCTTCCAGGAAGGCACAGAATGCAAACACTGCAATTTTGGGCATAATTCCACTTATTTTTCTACTCTTGCCTAAGTGTCCCCTTTGAAAGACGTGTCCATTTCAGGCTTTCTCCCATCTTCTGAGAGAAAGACGGGTGATGGAAAATTAGAACTATTAACCTGATCTGGTGCTTTGGAGACAAACTGGAGGAGATTTAATGGGACATCCTTCTGAACCATGAGCACGTTATCGTAAGGAAAATTACGGAGAGGAGAAGGGGGCAGACCAGAATTCAACATAATGAAACCCGAGTTTTAAAGAAGACACTTTTGAGGACAAGGCTTGTGTCTTTTTCTGAACAAGCATTTAGAACTGTAATACAGAAACAAGAGTTTACACCTTTATTAGTAACACGTGTGAAAGCACTGACTGTGTGTCTGATGCACGAATGCTTAATGAAGAGTTTCTATAATTATTATTCCCATCATTATGGGCAACTAAAGGGCTGTGGGTTCGCATGAACCTCACCAACCTGTCAGGTAACACATAACGGGATCTTAAAAGATGTTTACAACATTCAGATCTTGAAGAACTAATATATGAACAAAATGGCTGCACCCACTGCCAGGCATCTGGAAACACCTTTTTCCTTCTTACCTTGTGGTCCATACTGGCTCATCTGTGGACCGTACGTCCCACTCGAGTTGCTCTGCTGAAAGCTGCTGATCCCAGGATGCATCTGGCCCCCAGGAGAAGGGTGAGGCGACATGGACGGGCCTGTCTGCTGAGGTCCATATTGAGACATCTGGGGGTTTCTTTGTGTGCCTGCCATGAAACCTAAGCAGGAAATAAAAGGAAATACATAAATGAAGGTGACAAACACAGCCATGGAACTGTGTGGAGGGGGTGGGAGAAGGTAACATCGAGGTACATCTCAGATCCAGTGTGGGGCTTTCGGAGAGCCTCGGGGGGCTACCCTGGCCTTACACTGAACTCTCGGAGTTCCCGGAACCAGCGGATGCGGACTTGAACCAGGGAAAGGAGACGAGGAAGGAAAGGCGAGTTCCCGTAGCCTGCCTTACGGAGGAGGTCCCCACAGAAAGCAACTGTAAGAGTGGGACCCTCCTTCCCGCTGGATGGACATGCTGCGCACGCCACCTCGAGGGTGCTTTGCTCACCTCCTCATCTGTGGGACGCTGTCACTCAAACATCCCACCCTCCTCACGCCCCGGCCGATAGCAGCCTCCTCCTGCATGTAAGTGTCCTCCTCCTTTTGTCTCCTAGAGCAACAACCATTCACCTCGACTCCTGTGCAGAGTGTAGACCCAGGAGTCCCCGACTCACACTGTTGCTGTGGGCGAATTGGAAACAACCAGCGGGGTGGCGTGTATCCGCTATTCCAGAACAGAACAGGACTTGCCCTGCAAACCGTTCTGCCCGACGTCTCCCTGTCTCCATGGACCATGGACGGCACCACCAACCACCACACGCTCACACCAGGAGCCCCTGACACCATGCCTCCTCCTCCCCTGATTTCCTGTGCGATCCATCCATCCGCACATCCCCCAGCCTCCACATCTGAAACAGCCGCCTCTGCTCCATTCCCACGTCCACACGAGCCAGCCCAGCTCCCTCTTCCTTTCCCACAGCTGCCGTGGTCCAACTCCCCTCCCTCTGCCTCTGCCTCTGCCTCTGCCTCTGCCTCGCCCTCACTTTGTTGCATTGATTCACTTTTCACAAAGCTGCCAGACGATTTCTCAGGGCCCAGAAAGAAACGAGAGCATGTCTTTCCCTGCGCAGAACCCTCCAAGGCTCCCCGCTGACCCCGGGAACACAGCGCCAACTCCTGGCCTGGGATCACTGCCTTGCTCTAACCCCATTCCCCTGCTTTCTCCTCCTCCTCACTACCCCGTGAGTCCATGGCCTTCTGGGAGTTCTCCCACTGCCAGCTCAGGCCACCAGGCCGCCCAACCCGGGCATGTGCCCTGACCAGGAATCCAACTGTGACCTCCTGGTTCATAGGTCAATGCTCAACTACTGAGCCACACCAGCCAGGCTGAAATACACTTAGACAAAGTGCTCCACAAATCAAGACATGCCTCTAAGAAAAGGCTAACACCAAACCAGCAAACTAACAAAGCGCTGCTGGAGAAACAGCTCTGAGAACCCGGAGTTGGGTGCTGAGAGCTCCTGGGCGCTGGACAGGGCCAAGGGGGGCAGGTGCTGCCTCGTCCGGAGGGGAACCTAGAGCAGAGCTTCCGGAGAGGCTACTGAGGCAGCAGGAGGGGCAGGCGATGTCTGGAGCCACGGTGGGTTTCCATCAGGGGTCAGCTGGGACAGGGCATTTACAGAGCCCTGGTGGCAAATGTCGCAGGCAAAGAAAGATCTTTTGCGGTTGCTTCTGTATGAAGAGATAGACATAAAAGTACGGAGAGCTGTTCCTTATTATCCTATTTCATTTATTTATAAAGATGAGCCTTATGAAACTGAGCTCAATTGGCAGCTTCCAGATATAAATCAGCCAGAAAATGTTTGCTTTTTCAAATCTGAAAACAAACAGAAATCAGAGCACGAAAATTGCTAAAAATGACTGCATCTTAAGACGTTACATGAAATATTTATCTAAGCCTTACGATAAGATTCTCAGGAGTTTCACATAGAGTCCCGTTTAATAAAAAACGTGTTTCCATTCCGTACAGCCTGTGTGGGCTTTCTTCCTTCCGGAGAAGGACTGCGTTCTTCCTCATCAAGTTAGGAAGACACAGGTCCGTTCGCCTGAAACGTCGCTTCAGCCATGAACCTCTGATCAGACGAACGTTATTGTTACGTTATTGTCGCTTCTGGGACAGTGATCACAGGCCTCCGTTTTGTTCAGATGAGCTCTGAGATTCTACTTGGGCAAAGCCATTCCTTTATTTCCTTCCTTAAAATATACCCGCCACGGTCCACGTGAACTATCGCTGGCATTCCGCAGAAAATCAACACGTGAAAGGCTCCGGAAGGGGTGGGGTGTTCAAAGCGAATTCCACTGGAATGTGTCACAGCATAAACTCCACACCTTGGGGTCGAGGTGACATGGGGTATGGGATCTCCCTCCGTCCATAGAAATTGAAATTGGAAAGCTAATTTTTGCTCTGCGTGCTTTTGCAGTGACACCTCTTACAAGAGCTTCCGGAAATCTCGTTCTGTCTTTTCAGTTATGAGCGGTTCTCAACCTGTGGGTTGCGACCCCTTTGGCGGTCGAACGACCCTTTCACAGGGGTCGCCTAAGACCATCCTGCATATCAGATATTTACATTACGATTCATCACAGTAGCAACATGACAGTTATGAAGTAGCAACGAAAATAATTTTATGGTTGGGTCACAACATGAGGAACTGTATTTAAAGGGCCAGAAGGTTGAGAACCACTGAGTTAGATGCACCCTTCCCAGACAGCCCGGGACAAGGACAGGCGGTGACATGACCACCCTGGCTCCTTGGAGCCTCACGCCTCTGACGGCGCCCGCGGGTCCCAGCTTGGCTTGTGAACTAGTTCAGGACCCAGCAGGAAAGACATGCAGAAAAATGTATGAATCAAATTAGCTGTGCGACTTTAGGCAAATGCTCAAAAATTCTCGAAACAGCCCGGCTGGTGTGGCTCAGTGGTTGAGCGTCGACCTATGAACCAGGTTTGATTCCTGGTCCGGGTACATACCAACGTCAACTCCTGTTGGAAAAACAGTGCAGCCCAAAGCATAGTTCATCTACCCGAGAAAGAGCGAAGAGCAAAGAAGAGCGAGTGTGTCCGGCTAAGGCAGGGGAGCGAGCCAGCACAGGACCAACCACCCACGAGTGTGGTTTCCTCATCTGAGGTGCGGGCAGTGGGCAGCCGGTCCTGCCCTGTCGGACACAGCAAAGCACCTACGACCCCACAAGCCACCACAAACAAGGCACGCTTTCCTGTTAGCACATGGACCATCTATGATCACGCTGGCATCTGTTAGAAACTCACTCACGGAATAACTGCCTGGCTTCGTCACGCCGGTCCATGAAAGATGCTTTCCCGCACGTGGGCAGTAATGGCCGCGTGCTGCCACCCGAGCAGAGGGCTCCGACTACAAAGACAGACCGTGGTTTCTTGCCACTCGTAGGGGTCAGATTCCCATTTGCAGAGAGAAGTAGATTTGGAAGGATATTCTTGCTACAGCTGAATATCTCCAGCGCCTCTGCTGCCTGCTTCTCCTCACGACATGAGCTGGTTGAGGAGGAAACTAATGGCCCGTTCAAGGCTGGGACCCAGGCCCCGTGTTCTCCCGGCTGTGCCCTCAGGTGAGCTGGCAGGATGGCCCCCTCCTTCCCTGACACCCGGGTCCTGGTCAGCGGCACAGAAGACAGTATCTAAGTTCTGACCACCGACCCTACAAGACCTCTCAGCCGCTGACACCATCCATCATCGGGAAAATGAGTCAGGGGAGAGCAGACTGATTACCCAGATGGTAGATGGGACAAAACACCTGCCTTCCTTATGCAATCTTCTGAGTTTTAGCTGCAAAAGTCCACTTCAGCGTGGAGTGCAGACCATCGTAAGGATGTCTCTATGAGCCTTTTTTGTAAGGCTTTCTGCCCACATTTCACCTGAGTCACTTGGACCTGGTGCTAATGCTCATTGCTAATATTTGCACAGTGCTGGGCAACTTGTAACTCTCAGATACAGGACTGCACTTGATCCATGCGACAAACCCAAGGGACACTCTGATCCTGTTTATCTGAGGAAGCAGAAATTGAATTAATTGTCAAGGTCACAAAACTAGTTAGTGGTACAGCCTGCGTCTAAACTCAGATTTTTTGGTTCCAAACTCCGTGGAGATTAAAATGAGGAAAAGCATGTGCTCTCTGAGGTGCTGGAGCTGAAGCAAAACGAGCCTCACAGAGCCCTTGTTGGGGAGAGAGCTCAACTCTTCATCCATCCTTGGATCTCGAGAGGCACCAGACTGCAGGGCGGGGTCCCGGCTCACAGGGCCGTGCTGGGAGTGACAGGTGATGCCTCATTCATTGTTCCCTCAGCAAACGCAGACTCAAGCTCCTAGCACATGCCAGGCTCTTGAGAACATTCGGGATGAATAAACACAGGCAAGGGGACCCATGTCTGGATAGGGATAGGGCTGAGGAGTGGGTGGCAAAAGGGTGGGAGAGAAGAGTTTATGTAAAGATCCTCGGAGGGGTCCAGCGAGGCGGGGGGCATGAGCCAGTGCGCATGACACGGAAGACCAGCGAGGGAGGCTGGCTGGCGGCACAGCCTTTCTCCCCAAGGCCTCCCAGAGGGAAGGGCACATGCAGTCAGTCTTCTGGAAAGACACCGGGTGCACAGAAAGTGGGCAAGAAGGGAACGAAGCTGAAAAGGCAGGGTCCTGGGAGGTTGTTGTGGGCACCAGGGTGGCCCCGGCCAGGGCTGTGCAGTGGATACAGGGAAGGAGATGTGGGCGAAGTGTCGCAGGGGCAGCGCCCACAGACATGATAACTAGGGTGGATGCCTTCAGCTTCCGGGCTTGGGCAACTGGCAGATAATGGTCGTTCCGAGACCCAGACCCAGAGGCACAGGAGGGTGCGTTATACAGTGCACGCGGAATTACCTAAGATCCACGTGTGCTCAAACTCGCACTGAGCACAAGCCCAGTACAACTGAGTGTTAACTAGTAAAAACAAGCTTAAATTGGCAAATCAAAAAACACCGCTTATGACAAAATTAACAAAACTGTGCTTTTAAAATATTTAAAATTTAGACAGATAATTCCTCAATGAATATAAATATACTTTTATTGTATGTGCTATTTGTTTTCCCAGGTTTTTTGTGACTA